CAGCCACCCAGCCACATTAATGCCCACAAGTTCGCTCTCTTTCCTCGCGCAATTTTTTATTGGAACGCATTACCTGCGGAAGTAGTGAATGCTGCCTCGATGGCTTCATTCACGCAACAGATAGAAAAGATTAATTTCACCATATAAGTGATGTATGCTGAAAATAGTGTCATTTGAGTGCAATTCATCCGGCTACAAATGTTGAAAATATTTTTAGTTGTGCGCAGTTCTGTTGAACAGCGAGAAAATATATTTGACTTTTCTGTACTTGATAGTTATGTATTCTCTCATTTATGCTCTGTACTTCAGTGTATTACTAGTTATTGCTTGAATGTATTGTTTGTATCCCACTCCTGCATGGGCCCGGGTAAGGCCTGCAGTATCTGTAAATAAATAAATAAATAAAATGAAAAAACATCGCTGGTGCCATTATCGCAGTGGCAATTGTTACAGGCAGCAGTTGATTGTGTTTAATAAATGAACAAATTATAGTAGCAGGTGCAGATCTCGTCTATGTCGAGTACACGACAAACAGAACTGAAGTTGAACCGTAAGTTTGTATGTCAACTAGCTATTTAACGCACGACCTATGACATGTTGGTATGGCGCAGTGATTAGTGTCTGCAAATGATAACCCACAGGTTGCACGTTCGATCCTCTATGGTAGCTTTTTTTATGGGACGGGTGTTTTTGCATCGTTTTTCATAATTTTTTAAATTTTTGTGGCAGCTCGTCACGGTGATTCTGACGCCATTTCGTGCTCAAGCCTTGCAGGCACTGCAGCACCCATCATATCCCACCATGCGCAATGGTGGACGTTTTCCAGCATTCACCCACTACATTGATTCACTATAATGGTGGGTAGTGGTGTACACCATGCCCACCATTCGTTTTTTTTTTCGAATAGGGCGGTTGCGACCAGCACTCATGAGGGCACCTGACTGCAGGCAGCTGCACAGGTCCCCGGAATTTCCATCGCCTGACCTCACGGCCGTATTTCTGGCCAATGGCGCTGACGATGTGCAGGAGACAGCCAGTCGTGGATTACAACACTCGCGCTGCGTAATTTCCGAAACACTCGAAATAAACAATGGAGCAGGGCCTAGGGAAGAGAGCTTCGGGCTTTTCGGCCACGTGGTACGATGGCCAGTACTGCTAGCTAATACATCGGCGGTGGCCGAGACGCCCATCAAAATAAAACAAAAATCCTTTCTGGCTGACTCGTGCAACGCAAGATAAAAAAAGTGAGGGAAGCTAGACGTTGTGACGAGTGATTACAGCTAGCCTGTACACACGCAAGAAAAAACCATGGCCAGACTGGTACGAGTTCTCTACATGCATACTGCGATGACGTTTTTTTTTAACGTGCCAATTTTGACAAACATGATGCCAGGTAATTCTGGTGCGGTGCGCGAAACTTCCTGAAAAGCGAGGGTTGTACTGGTGAGGTGATCCAAAGCATCGCGTATCAGCTCTTTTATGCCACGTTCAAGAGAAAGTGGCTCTAACTGGTCAAGCGTGAAATGTTCCTGAAGGTGCGTTGATTACATCTTCCAGCTGTTCTGCGTACGCTACGGGTATTTGTAACAAATGGCATGCACTAGACGCGCATGAGACGCTCACAAAACCAACAAATAAACTCGCTTCGCAGATCCGCGTCTAGGTACGTCAACGGATTGAACGAAAGCCTTCGCGTGATATGTTTTATAGCTACACTGCACGGTGTGCTTGATTTCAGATAGTATGAGGTAAGTTGAAGAGAGCGAGGCCGTTTCTTGTTGTTTTCTTTCAACTGAGCATTGCTGAAAGACTCTAATGTTGCAATGAATGAGCACCACGATACAGTTGTGGCAGACGTGGTGCCCATTGAAACGCTCCTCCTCTTAAGTTTATGTCCAGGCTACAACTTCTTTCGTCACGGGAAGAATCCGGCTTGAGCCATATGCGCATGCGTACTCGTTTTCCACTTTTTGCATAATAATAAATAACACCACTAGGTATTTGCAAGATCACGTGCGAGGAATGCACCATTTACAGCCGCGGATGGCAGAGAAAAGGAGGGGTATACAAGAGAGCGAGAAGGACAGCATCGACAACAATGAGTGACGCTCCCTTGGAAACTTGTTTTGCCAGGGGACCTCAGGTGACGCGTGCTCATCGCACCATCTTGCTGGCGATGCTGAAAACACGATAATTCTTCCGAAATCAGCATTGCCAGTGGTAAGTGGTATATATAAAGTACTTGCCTTTTTAACGTTCAAGTCGGTGCTCCCTCGTGGGTCAATTGCTAACGGCCCACACTCAAAAGCAAGAGGTCGGACGTTCGATTGCGCGCACAGGGATCTTTTTCTGGATTATTTATCTTTCTTGCGTTTTGATATATAGATACGTATACGTATGCGGTGAATGACAGCGGTCACCAACGCCGACATTTCCGCCGGCGGTAAAAACCAGCCGTGAGTGTAGGGTGTAACTGTACAAATGATTGTTACTTATTTGTTGGTTGCGTTACTCGCATCTATTCTAGGTCTACGCAACCACATGCTACTGGCCGAGGTCACCCAGTGCTGGATAAATTGAGACTGCCGAATGAGCACGAGAGGATGCGAAATTTAATACCAGTAGCGCAGAGGCTGGAAGATGTGCGATGCTCTCTACAGCATGAATTCATGACGTAACTCAACATGTGTGTGTGCACGCACACAAGATCGCGTAGATTGAGGAAAAACTTTTAACTATCTGCGGTTGCCGTTAGAAGGCGCGATGGATAAACCGTTCGCATAAGAGAAAGTCACTGCTTTGAAAGGGAACTAATCACCTTGCTCCTTGAAAAAGTAGTAATACTTGAAAAACACACAGCAACGCCTTCAACTAAGCACTTATATGTAATTATATTTACCAGTCTAAAATTGTGTGCCCGATGGAGGCGTATCAGGGTGCTATTGTTTTATGCTTACATAAATTACATCGTTCATATTGATTTCTTTGTCAATTTTGTCATACATGCACATGACACAAACCTAGTTGTTTTAAGGACCTAAAAATGAATAAGTTACCCGGTGCAATGAATTAATAGGCAAACTGTTGTCGTCTGCAAAAGTTTATTCAAATTAAGATATTGAAAACAAAACCTATCGTATTTTGACTAAAATGGCATATTTTCACCAACACAGTCAGTAGGTTACGCAGGTGTCGCCGTTTGTTTCTACATAAGCGAAAAATCTTAGTGTCACATTTTTATCAAGCATTAGCTGGAATAAACCTAACAAAATTATCATGAAAAAGCCTCTACTGCAGACGGTGTGCGAGACACTTGTAGACACATCTTACCCTAAATGGTGAAATTACAAATATACCAAATATACCACACTTTTTTATTCACATATGTATTACTGTTGTTTGGCGTGGGCAGCCACAACGAAATATAACATAAAGAAGCATAACAAAGCTCACGTGTCAACTGAAAATTTTTTGTTGTTGTTGATAAGAACATGAAGCACTGATGGTTGCTTTCTTGCAAGGTTTCGTAAAAGCCACAAATCTCAAGCACTTCAATAAAGTCTGCCAACACTATTCAATAAATACAGGCTCACACAAAGAGGTTCCCTAGAAAAGAACTGTGGTTTTTCTTATTTACAAATATAGGCCTATTTGTGGCGTAAAATAGGTTTTTGTACGATATAATTTTTCATTCGTTGTGTGCGTTCATGCTTAACAACTTAGATTGTATTATGAAAATCATATAACAATACTGGATTCTTCACCTTTGTTGTCTCCTTTTTATGTACTATTTGTTCCATGTGTTTGATGCAATCACACAAGAAACAAATATGTGTATAGCTTTTCTGACGTTTTATCAACTTTTTTCGGGTTGTGGTTTTATGGTAGTTGTGTTTTTTCCTGTTTTCGTTCTTATTTTTGCTTGCGTCGATGTAACAATTTTTTGTGGCATGTTTGGGATCAAGTTTTTTTTGTAGTTCAATTAATATATGTTTTTATCATACCTCAGTTTGGTATTGCAATGTTAGTTTATGAATGTCACCATCACTCCATCGTGTATTATTCACTTCTGACTTTGTCCTATCTGCCTTGAAAAGGATTCACTGGTGTCGCGAAGCTGTTCATCCTTAAACAGTTTTTAGCCAGCGAACATCTCAAGAACCTGTTTATTTTCTTGAAATAAAACTGATTTCAATTGATTATCACTCTTGCTTTCTCTTCTGAGAGTGTGGCACGGGTTTCTGGTGCCACAAAATAAAATAGAGCACCCCACTTTACAGCTACCTATGAGTTTTGTATTATTGTGCATTGCAGTCGGACGAGGAATTGTCATTACTGTTTACGCAAACAGCGAAACTGGCAATGTAGATTTTTCGCGGGAAATCATGAAATTATCCAGGTGGCAAAGTTATCTCAGTCTGTCCCCCGCCCATTTCTACCTTATAATTCAAAAACTGAGAGAGAAGCGCGACTGACGCTACCAAACACATTTCATTTGAACCTTAGGCTGGACAACGAAATAAAGAGACGCTAAAGTGAAACAGAAACAATGAGTTTGTTTAGAGTTACAAACTGCACTTGGAAAACTCAAACATCATATGTTTCACTATCATAACCTCAGTATTACTGGTGATAATGAAGGTTGAAGTTTCAACTTTAAACTTCGTGACGTTAAAAAAAATTCGAAATGTACTTTTCTTGTTTTCGTGACGATGGCTCAATAAAATTTTCTGAAACATTGTACGCTAGACTTATGGCACCCACCGATGATTACGAATTCTATTTCAATTGATTAGAATGGACGTATGACGTTCAAATTCTATGATATCATAAGATTTGGTGCAGGAATCTCAAGGTTGCGTTCCCACAGCATTTTTTTATTTTCGCGAGATTTCTCACTTACCAAGCATGGTGTCCCACTAATGTTGTGTTTTCGGAATTGTGAAATTGTGCTCTGCTAACAGGCGAAACATCGTTTTGCTCCATAGTATCCTTTTAGGATGAAAGCCTTTGAGCGCTTCGCTGAGCCTCTCCTCGAGAACGACAAACGTCAGGTGAATGAACTGGCGTAAGAACCCACGTAACATACGTAACCAATGACGTCGTCATGTGACATAATGAATGCCTCATAGTTCGTATAAATACGTGACGACACGTCATTTATAGACATGCCGAAGCCTCTCGATGTCTTCATTACAAGGCATTGCTGTTTGGTCAAAGGCGAGCCATGGTGGAAAGACAGACAGAGAGAAAGAAAGAGGAGTGGCAGGCAAGTGTACCAAGGTTTAGCCCGTTTGAGCCATGGTTGGAGGCACTGCAACCTTGCTTGAGGAGAAGAAAGTTTAAAAACACAGGGTAAGGAGAAATAGAAAAAGGTGTATTTCTTTATTCAGGGTAGAGTGTCACTGTGCAGATTTTCTGCATTCGTGCTTTTTAAAAATTCTTTGTGACTGAAAGTCAGTTTTTCCGAAAGCAAGTAGTGAATCAACACTACCCTTGGACAAGCGCATTGTATGTGCTGCATGCTTGCGGAGAATCTTCTAAAACAATAGAAAAAATACTCCGTATAAATAGAGTTAATGATGAGTCGGCAATGCACTGAGGATTATCTGGTAACCATGAACCCCCGTACGTTGTTCAATCTACATCACATAATGAGTGAGAACATTAGTAATCATGGTGACGTAGTTAATAAATTAGAAACGATGATGCACTTAGCAACACCGTCCGATCTCTGGCCGAGAAATTTTTGCTTGAAACAAGTGTCAGTGCAATTACTACGGGTAGTGTACGCTTCTTGCGTTTCGCCCCAGCTTCTCTCGCTCACAACTCCGGGTCCGCTTGCCTTCGTTCTCGTTTCTCCAATGCTTGTGAGCTTTCACTTCCGGGATCGCTTGCCGACGCCTCCGCGGCGCTTCAGATTAACGAGCCGCCAGTGCTTGCCGTCAAGCCTCGTGTTTGTTCATTGCAAGTGACACGTATCAATGGTCAGAGTGCGAGAGAGAGAGAGAGCGCCGCAAGTGCTACTAGCGATCGCGCTTGGAAGTTCCACCTCTTAAGGGCGCTACTGTAATTAGATGGCTACGCCTGGGGTACACCGCAAGCTCGGACCTAAAGTGCTTCGCTCCTAAAGCTTTGTGTACGAAAGCCTAAGTGCTTGTACACATACGTGTATAGTCATATACGTGTATAGTCATACGTGTATAGGAGTCATACTTGTATAGAAAATGGTCGGGAGCTTTCGAAGGCACTGGGTGTCATTTCATTCGCACTTGTTCTTCGGAGAATGTCTGCAAATTTTCACCTCCTAGCTTCATTAGAGCTTGTGTACTTACTGCGTGCTTGAGAACACGTAAACAGTTGGACGCGTGTATTGCACACAGTGGCTTGTTACGTCTGGAGACAGCTGAGGTCTCTGACTTTTTCGCATAACAAATTGCCATGTCTGCAGCAGGTTCTCGCCTTGAGAGTGTATTTGTTAAATGCTGACGATTATTCCCGAAACGTCGAACTTTTTATTTTGAGAAATTTGCCATTGTTTTGTTCAAATCTCTTTCAGCGTCTGTTTAGTCAATGACACTTGTTTTCTATCAGGAAATGAATCAATTGATACAATCGTCAATGTAATCACAATCAGAACCACATAAATTTATGTGCTGACAACTTTGGCCTTGTTAAATTACTTTCTTTTTCATTTACCTGCGCAGACTACGTTGCTCCTCTGCTTCAGGCTATGGATTCTGCAAGGAAGCTTTCCCATATTTTCTGAAATGGACAATCCTGTGTCATTCTCGTCGATGCGCTCAACCAGGTGAGGACATCTATAAAATGGGTCTAACAGGAATTCTACAATATCCTAAAGCATGTGGTTTTTATTAAGCACGGTAATGGCTCTGCATTATTGTTTCATTACCGGCTCATTGGGTTAGTGAAAAGTTTGACTTTGTTGAACACATTTTGTGTAGCTGCACTCGCCGTGACACCCAACGGGGCCAACTGCGGGCTCTTTAGAACTCATTTATTCTGAGTCAGTTTTCTGTAAACAATATTCTACAACCATTTACTTTTTCAATAATAGTGCAGAAGGCAAAGAAAACGCAACTAATACGCTATAAATGTGATAGATTTGTGCGATCGTCTGTAGACTAGACGTGCTTTTCGAAATGTGCTTGTGGATATGTCCGTTTGGCTTTTATCTCTTCGACCATTGCAGGGTAGCTAACAGGATGTGTGTATGGGACCTTCCGTATAGGTCTAGGCGTGAAAGAACTCGACTGTTGGCCCGCAGGTGCCGTAATTCCATTCCAGCAGTGACCACTGCTTTTTTTTTGGGGGGGGGGGGGGGGGGGGAGGGGGTTTTTGAGGCCCGTGTGTTTGGTTTCAGGTGCTCGATAAAGAACCGCATGTGGTCAAATTTTACGGAGCCTTCTACTACAGCGTTTGTAACAAAGCCCAACAATGAGTATTAAGGTAAAGCCAAGTAGTGCGATTCGGGATACTATCAGATGTTCCACGCTGCACGTGCCATACGACGAAAATTTTCGTGGTTGTTGTGGCGGTGCCCCTGCGCAGGTTGTTGATATACAAAGGTGTGTATCTCCCTTGAATAAAGCCAGTTGATAGTTTGCGCCTGTTCTCGTCTCTCCCTTCCTGTGTGTTGTGTATGATTGCGCCCTCACTATCGTTTCTATGTCAAAGCTTAACCAACAGTCAACTATTTTGAGGAAAGCTGGAAGCGAAGCGAGTCGACTCACCGAGATGGCCAGTGGCCGATGCCGCTGTTTAAGTCTTCCATGGCAGCCCCATATCCTGCTAGTGGTTCGGGAACGCTGGTCGCCTTGCAGTAATGGCACACTTCAAACATCATTTTATTAAATCATGAATTATTTCGTGCCTGAAACAAAGTTCTATATTTGATGTCTTTTGTGCAGCCATCAACGGCAATATCGCCAAATGTCAGGGTGATCGTACTCATCAAAGCGAGGAACAATGAATCAATGGATGCATGTTATTAGCATTCCCTTTATTATGGGTCAGCGACAAGTGTGCCACCAGGCTAAACAAATATTGAAAAAAAATCATTCTTTAGTTTTGATTTCGTAATGCTGAAATTGCCTATTTCAATTAGAATATTTTATTATAGAAAAAAACCGCAAATTTTTGTTCAGTTCTGTGTTATATATGGCAGCACATCCTTATTTTTTGTACTATTTATTTCTGTCCTTTTCTCTAGTTGTTTTGCCGCCAACGCACTAAACGTATCCTACTTATTTCTACTACGGCCGTGTTAATCTTGACACTGTCGTTCCTAAAAACCAAGGCTTCTTGTAGGCTCATGCCCAAGCCTACACTTGGGTGTATATCTCCACGATCGAGTAGAACAAGCTGCTCTATTTGGTTATCTTGCCCACGGCGCATAAATTGCTTTTCTTCCCTTTCAAATATCCCTTTGTAGCTACGCGTTCTAAGGCAACCCGATCTCGCTGCAAACAATAAAGTGCTTCCCTAGAAATCATCATGAAATGCCTGCCATATTATTTCATTTTCGCCCTTTTGGTCGCTATTGGTGCAGTCATTTTTTTCGCCACCGTTGCCATTCAGTAAAGCACCTCCGCATGGGGGTTGAATGGGGGTTCGGGGGTAAAACAATGTTGAGCTCGATGGCAATGCCGCGTGGTGTGTCAGCCACCTCCACACAGTATTGGCAAAGGCCAGAAAAAAAAAGAGTGAAAATGTTTAGGCACTCCCGCTCCCGACAAGCCATGGTGTGGCGTCCTAGGACTGTGGCCACGACCAATGGGGTCCCCGACCAGGCACTCACTCTTGTACTGCAAGAGAGCTGAACCACTAAGAACTGGTTTCTCCTGAAATTTTTCTGTTAGCTTAATAAATGTTTACGACCACTATAACCTGTCTGACTTCCCATTTAACGCGGTTTGCTGCCATACTACTTACACTGCCAGCCTATGTACCTGTTGAACCCTCTAGTTCTTTCTCTCTTCCTTGTGTCAATCACCGACCTGGGCGCCACCAGCTATGTGATGTCGCACATCTCCCGGGCTACCATAGGCTGTGGCCGCCAGAACGACGCGGCAGTTCAGCGGATTACTAATATTCAGTGAGTGGAATGGCCGCGTAGCAATCGTATTGTCTCCACATGCTGTTGGAGCCAATTGGATGTCTGTTGAATGCTGCTGTTGGCGCGAATAGGCAACCATACGGCAAATTGCATCTGAATTCGCACCATGAGTCCATTACTTAAAGTACTAGCCTTTCCATGCTTCTTAAATTTTTGAACTAGCTTGTCAGCGCTTCTCTAAAAGAAAGTTCAACGTGTTTGCTTATGACAAAGGACGGGCTAGCGTTTGCACATCGCTTGGTTAATGTGATGAACACTTTAAAGAACGAGCGTGCTCTTACAAAGAGATGATTGTTTGGGGGCAAGCGGTTGCTTGGGCAATTTAGAAAAAAACATGATTGGACTAGCATCAGTGTGTGAACACTCTCTCTCTCTCTCTCTCTCTCTCTCTCTCTCTATATATATATATATATATATATATATATATATATATATATATATATATATATATATATATATATATATATATATATATATATATATATATATACATAAAGTATATATATATATGTATATATATGAATATGTGAACCATATGTGAATGAAACTGCCTTACTAATACACGTGATGAATGAACTAACCTACCAAACAACCTTCTTCGCCCTGTATTGTTTCGTTTCGCAATTATTTTATTTGTATGTGTATTACCACCCTGCTTGGACCTCGAGTCTGAAGTATTGAATATATATATATATATATATATATATATATATATATATAATGAGATATAACAGACAGTAATGCCAAGGAATGTACAGGGGAAGTTATTAACATTAATGGAATGTAAATAAGAAGAAAGAAAAGTGGATGAAAAAATTACCAACTGTAAGCAGGAATCGAACCTACGAAGGTCGTAGGTTCGATTCCTGCTTACAGTTGGTAATTTTTTCATCCACTTTTCTTTCTTCTTATATACATTCCATTAATGTTAATAACTTCCCCTGTACATTCCTTGGCATTACTGTCTGTTATATCTCATTATTATTGTGTTAAAAACACGGAAAAACGAGCCCTTAGGTATACACTTCTTTCCCTTTATATATATATATATATATATATATATATATATATATATATATATATATATATATATATATATATATATGTATATATATATATATATATATATATATATATACGGAGAGAGATATATATATATATAATAACTTCTCTAGTCGCCCTTATCAAGTCCAGTTATCAAATCAAGTGTTCTCTCTCAGGTAATAATGCATAGTTTTGGGGTAATGAGATACTGACCTTGTTTTGTCACTGTTAACCTCTTCATGGACGTTGGCTTTGTCGTAGCCGAGGGAGTTTTCTACATTCACAGCAAATATAACTTCAAAGTAAGGCTGTCTAGAGCCTATGGGTATGCTAGATACACTTCAAAGAAACATCAAGACACCTTCACAGCTCTGTACAAGTGAAAAGTCACGGTGCCAATTATTTTCAAAAAACCTTTGCAAACACGTATCAACAGCCACCGGTCAATACTTCTTTCGTTGCTTCATTTCAGGCTTTTCACGTACAGCTACTTATGCGCCTTCAACGCCTGGCTTGTGTTGTGCCCGCGTACCTTGTCGTACGATTGGCAAATGGGCAGCATACCTCTCGTGACGTCACCACTTGACTCTAGGAATCTGGCTACACTGGCAATATTCGCCTCGATATTGACTCTCAGCTGGCGGGCCTTCACGACATCGAACAAGATAAGTGACGTGAGTTCGAATTACATTTATTAGAACTACTGCTACGTGATTTGCCATATAAATGGTCAGCACATGATAATTTGCACTTCTTTTGAGCCATCAGAACGCTGATTTTGTGTGCTAGCCACAGTAATTATAGGACTACACATGAGCCTGAGCATTGGTCGATAAATATGTGAATATTGCAATGTTTGTTTTGCAAGCGTGGTTAGTACACTCATATGTCAAATATTTAAACCACCAGGTACGTTAGATATTCTGCAAGTGTATAAATATTTAGAATCAAGAAGCCGGTGACATGCCCTTATTTATTTTCACTCAGAAAGCAAGCAGCCTGTCAGAGAGCAAGTGCATTAATAAAGATGCGCGTCTCTCTAAGCACACTGCATAAGATACAAACCTATGTGCTTCTATGTTCGCTGTTTAATACATTGTACTCTGAACGACATCTTTTTCCATGTTTTGAGAAGGATGTATATATATGTATCTATGCTCACCAATAGGGCCTACAAAAATTTCTGCTCATATTTAAAATTGAGGCACTGTCAACATACTCGGTAGCTAGATGTCAGGACAAACAACTCGAAAGCTCGAAGTATTCAGCCTTAATGGATACGTCTTGCACACATGGATACAAATAGAGGGAACAACGCACCATAATCGCCGTCTATCGCTGTTCTATTGCGGACTACGGCGGCTGCATTTCTGATGGAGACGGAAATGTTGTAGGCCCGTGTGCTCATATTTGAGCGCACGTTAAGGAACTCCAGGGGGTCGAAATTTCCGGAGCCCTCCACTATGGTGTCTCTCATAATCATATGGTGGTTTTCGGACGTTAAACGCAACATTTCGATCAATCAATCAATAACTCAATCTGTTCTATTGTGTTCGAGTGCACACGTTTTACGTTGCTTTATTGTGAATCCTTTCCTTCATTTATGATGAATGTTCGCCTTTTTTAATGACGAAGCTTTATTTTCTTTTATGATGAATTGATCGCTTCTTGTGATATGAATACTTAGCTTTTTATGATGAATTGACCCTTCCTTTATGAGGAAGCCTTACGTTCTTTTATGGAGAATCGCTATATTTGTTTGTTGAAACATTGCTTTCGTTTATCATAAATTGTTATTTCTGTTTAGGATCAATTCTCACCTTCTGAAATAATGAGTTGTTATATTCGTTTACGATGAAGTGTTATCGCTTTTTGATAAACCACTGCCTTGTTTCATAATGAATGCTTATCTTGCTTCATCATGCATCCTTACTTTCTATGAAGAAATGTCTTCCTTCGTAACGTACCTTTAAGTTATTTATGAGGAAGTCTTAACTTTCTTCATGTCCTATGTTATGATGAATCGTTACCTTCCCTTATGATAAATTTTTACCTTCTGGTATTTTGAATCCATGTCTTTTTATGAAGACTTTACGTTGTTTTTTACCATGAATCCTTTTCTTACTGTGTGACAATTTGTAAGCTAACTTTATCTTGTGTCCTGTCCGACTAGCTCAGCTGTTTTTCACTTGAAGCATTGTCGAACGTTAGCACCTACAAGGGGGGGGGGGGTGAGTCGAAGTTTCCAGGCCACTATCTCATGTATTCCTAAGGGAGGGTGGCTTGGGAACTTTTGACTTTATTCATGTGTGTCCATGCGAGTTTCTGTGTAGGCTTCTATACGCCTGTCTTCAGGGCAAACTTCGTGTGAACTTGCTGTCCACAGCAATATATTAGGTTGGGGTGAGATTTTTCAAGCTACCCTTGTCTATGCTGTATGAAGATTTTCAGTGGACCGACAAAGCAGTGTGGTTCCAGCAATCTTGGCCAATTGAGGCAGCCTTCAGAGAGAATACTAGTGCCGCTTCTTCTGACTGTGCTGTCTTTCCTTCCGGCGTCCAACCTCTTCGTGGCCGTTGGCTTTGTCGTGGCCGAAAGAGTTCTCTACATTCCCAGGTAAGGAATAACACTGTGTAAACAGACTTGCATTACAGAAGTGCAAATGAAAGCAGTAGCATGTATGCCTTTACGCCATGATTTAATCGAATGGGATCTGTCAAACAGACAATTTTTAGCAACGAGTTTCCTTCTGCAGATAACCGCGTTCTAGGTAGGCAAATTGTAATATTTTTTTCGTAAATGACGCTTGATTTGCCTTGCTTACTTACATACTTGCCATAATATAGGAATGCAGACCAAGTAATTTATGAGGTTTGTTATAAATTACCGAAAACATAAAGAACTACTAAGAACAACTTTAGATTGCGAAAACCTAAAAAGAATGGTAATTTGATTTATGCAGGGGGTATTTTCATGAACGGCATGCATTTTTCTTGGTTCATAAACTTCCACCATGAAAATGCCTTTTTTATGCACGATAGCTTTGCCACATCAACAGTCATGACTGAACAAAGCATGCTTTACAAGCAACACCGCTCTGTTTGATTTCAGGAAATGTTTGTGAAAATGTAAGAAGGATGAATTATCATGATATCAGTCTCGTGTGTCATAGGTGTTAAATTTCCACGGCTTGTTAACTGATAAAAAAGTCACGCCTTTGCTGTAAAGGCGAAGCAATGAACACAATAGCAACAATTTGGAAGGTCACGCGCAGAATGGCGACTCTGATCGAAACATGCCGCGCGTTGTTTGCGCACAAATGACGCACGAAACGTACTCACAGGTACAGATGAAAGCGAAATAAGCGTCTCAGTTGTGACTTCGCTGTGTCGGTAAAACGCGCCTTTTTCGCAAACAGAGGCTGTGCAACAATTGCAGTGACCTTTTTCCTCCCCGTAACTACAACAGGATCGTTCCTGTGTAAGCCCAACACCAGCCAAGACGTATAATATTCCCAACCGGGAGATAAGGGCGTGCGACAGATAATCCACTTTCCTCCTCTCCGTGGGCTAAAGTACGCGTGAGAGTTCAGAGCCACCCCACGTTCATAGCGCCATCTTGCTGATAATGCTAAGAACACAATAGTCCCCCTCCCCCAGTGATGCCCACTCACATTTGTAAATGATAGATATAAATAGCTTGTCGTTTCAATATTCAAGAAGGTGCTCCTCGGTGGCTTAGTGGTTAACGTCTTTCATTCATGACGTGGAGGTCTTACGTTTGATTCCGCGCACAGGCGTCTTTTTCTATTTTTTCTATTTTGCATTTTTGTATACCTAGATTTGTATTCTTACACGGTGAGTGACGGTGACGCCCACGTCGATGCCGATGCCGAAGGCAAAATCCAGCCCAGATTGTCCATATATCTGCTATCGCAATAAAAACTTAAGGTATGCGAGAGTGTTTGCTTAAGCATAAGAGAGTGATACAATAAAGATCAACAATATTTATCGCTGCTTCAATGCATTGCAGTGATTCCTTGTGCTTCGTGCTTCATGCGAAAGTGGAGCATTTTAGCTGAATAATGACAGTGGAGCACATCATGAGGCTGGGCTCTGGTACGCTGTCCTCGCTGTCCCCACTATATGCTGTCGTATCTTGGCGCAACGCTGGCAAAATCACAACATAGCGATGTGCACACTATTGAGCGTGCGCTCACGACAAGGAGAAGTCTTCTTGCTCGTGTTATTAGAAGAGCTTGGTGATGCCTTCAAGTGCGAAGTACTTTTCGAGCCCAAGCTGTCGTAGGCTGTCATCGCTAGGTGTAAGACTGACATATCCATGTATCGCATCTGTAGCATGCTACAGATGGCTATACACATTACGCCCCCGGGCTTTGAAAAATTATAAAAGAGGAAGCGAGATATAGAGAGAAACAGAAAGAGGGACAAGTAGAAAAACAGACAAGTAGAGGAAGAACTAGAAAGAAATTGATAAACAGAGACTAAGTAACAAATATTTAAAGTATTGACAGAAAAGGTTTAGAAAGAACAAGTAGCAAAAAATAGCAAGAAAAAGAACAATAGAAGAACAAATAGAACAAATAGCAAAATAAACCAGAAACAAAAAAAAACTGTCCAGCTCCGCACTTCCGGTAAGCTTGGCTCAACTAGTGCGAACCTGCATTTTTCGTTTTTATCTCACAAGCTTTCATTTTCTCCTGAACTACGGCTTTGTACGCATAAACAGGTAGAACTATGTTCATCTACCGTATCTTCTCTATCGTACACAGAATAATGTATTTAATGTTTTTTGTGTCTTGAGTTGGACGGCCATCAAGCGATGTACTTTATTGAGCTTTGTGATTTACTACGTTTCTTACACCTTTTCCTTCCTCCCAGTTATACTAAATATTTTGAATTGACGCAAATAGCGGTATCTTGTGAAGTATCTGTGTTCGTAGTGTACGAACTGCGCTGAAAGTTATTCACCGGCTGTCTACGAAGTATAACTTGCTAAGGAGGTCTATGCGCTAAGCGTTTGCTAATGATGTCTATGCGCTAAGCGTATTCCTCCGCATATTACGTTCATTTAGAGATTGCATTGCCGGCGTTTAGTAAAGAGAAATTCTGGAATGCCTGATGCAACGCGAAGATTGACCATCGCTGTCGCCGTCGCACAGCGTCGAATATACCACAAGTGGTGCAAAAAATTTTCATCCGGTGATGACGTCACCGATCGCCAGAAGTCTTGGCGTCACTACGATGTCATCGTGGCGTCATTGTGGCGTCCAGGAACGCAAAATCGCGTGATGACGTGAACACTTGACATCGTAGCTTGGTGAGTGGCTTGCTCACAGCGGAGGCAGTGCAGAACCAGGTGACGTGCCTCTGACCCTGGAGGTGGTGCCAAACCATAACCTCCGACATGGCGGATATGCAGAGGGTTTTTGTTCGGCCGTCCCAATTGCACGTAGAGAGCGTGTGTTTAGAGGTGGACGCGGCCCGCTGTTTTTTCACTTTAAGGCACTCTTTTGTATGGTCGAAAAAGGCTGCCGCACTGTTGGCGAAGCTTTCATGCGGGGAAAAAAATATTATTTGATGATTTTCTTTAAGTACGCGCTGATGTGAGATTATTTGGCCAAGGTGTGCGAGAGGCAAAGGCAGTGATTGGCCATATATATTCTCAAATGTTTTATTTTTTTTGCTGCAGATTTGTGCCACACTTATAAGTGCGATGTATCTGCAAGAAATCTGCATGTGCTGTTAACATAGTATATCGAAGGTTCTGGGCGTTATGGAATTGGGGGGCACTGGCGTAGAAGAAAAAATAACAATGACAGGCCGATCCGCAAGCGAAGTCAGAAGAATGCCCCGTTGCACGCTCACGAATTACATTCAATCGAATGCGTGGTTTTCTTTCTCTTTCCATTAAGTAAATTAGCGCTGCTTTTCATTGTTGTGCCATATCAAAAATTCTTGCATACGTGCTAATATAATCATTGTGGCGCAGTGGTCACAGTGCGAACGGTCGCTAATTCGCGTTGTGAGTTGTGCGGTTTTCAGTGGATATGCTGGGCAATGTAAAAACGAGCATCGCGATCTTTTGCTTGTTCACGAATAACGGAGCATGCGTTCAGAGTTTTTTGTATCTGCTACGGAACACTGCGCATTACATAGAAGTGAAAACTTACACTTTTTGTTTCTTCTCTAGTCTACCTTGACGAACACGTAGTTTCAGAAAGACGCCCTTTGATTTCGATGCAGACGAGTGTACAGTAAATGAACCTAATACTAATTTTGCCATTGTGCTAGAAAAATGTGGTCGAAATACAGATGACGAAAAACGAGACGATCACAACTCAGGCACTTTCTTTGCGAAAGAGGTGAGGTGGGGGTAAATGTAGGATCGTCAATAGAAGCCTTCTGCAATATTGTGGTGAAATTACTTATCACTTTACTTATGTGATAAGACCAGGGTACTCATTTATTTAGAGCACAACTGTGCTTCGGTTGACCACCTCCTAAATATGCATACAATATAAAATACTGAAACATTGAGCCACAATAGGAGAGTAATATAAATCAACGATGAGAATAATCCCAGCTTTCCCCAATTCACGTTTCACAAAAAAGAATAATGCTAGAATGCCTCTATATTTCTCAAATCAAAGTATTTAGGGCCCAGATAAAACAGACCGTAATAGATTGATTGATATGTGGGGTTTAACGTCCCAAAACCACCATATGATTATGAGAGACGCCGTAGTGGAGGGCTCCGGAAATTTCGACCACCTGGGGTTCTTTAACGTGCACCCAAATCTGAGCACACGGGCCTACAACACTTCCACCTCCATCGGAAATACAGCCGGGGTCAATAGCCGAGTACCTTAGCCACTAGACCACCGCGGCGGGGCAATTTTAAACCCCTCGCAATGATATACATATATATATAAATATATATATATATATATATATATATATATATATATATATATATATATATATATTCGCAATGATATATATATATATATATATATATATATATATTCGCAATGATATATATATATATATATATATATATATATATATATATATATATATATATATATATATATATATATATATATATATGCAGGGGGTGGTGGTGGCCGCCGGGATATCTCAGTCGTTAGAGCATCGAACGCGTTATTCGAACGTCATAGCTTTGATTTCTGCTCACGGCAGGTTCTTTTTCACCCACTTTTCTTTCTTGTTATTTACATTACATTTGTTCTAATAAGTTCCCCTATACAATTCATGGCATTATTGTCTGTTAGATCTCAATAATATTGTTTCAACACAAGGAAAAACGAGCCGTCAGGTATAAAATTGTTTGCCTTATTTATTAACGAGGGTCTCGTACTGGCAGACTTTGTGCCGTTAGGTTGTATACAATGGACTTGGTCAGCTTCCAGCTCGTAATAAGTTCACGTGCTACGTGACGCCACACAGGCTCATAAAAAGAGTGTTCGACACTCGCGGCTTGGCTACAGATGGCGCTGACGGACACTACCACATTTCAATTCACATAAAAACCCCAAAAAGTGGATGGGGGGTTGGCTGCCGTGATAGCTCAGTA